CTTCCCCGGGGAGCAGGCATCCCGAGCTGTCACCATGTCCTCCCACCTTCTCCCCGGGGAGCAGGCATCCCGAGCTGTCACCATGTCCTCCCACCTCTTCCCCGGGGAGCAGGCATCCCGAGCTGTCACCATGTCCTCCAACCTCCTCCCCGGGGAGCAGGCATCCCGAGCTGTCACGGTTTCCTCTCTTTTCTCCCCTACGCCATCCGCTTCAGCCACCCAGGGATCAAACTCTTCTTCCTCTCCGTGCACGGCCGGTCGTTAATGCCGTCACCTATCGTCCTGCGCCTGCCAGCGCCGCTCTTTCTCCTCCTCCAGCAGCCACGATGTGAGTTCGACCTGCGCATGCACGCGCCTGTGGTAGGCGACGGCCCGGCGTAGGACGTCGTCCGACATGCCGCGGATTTCGCCGGGAACGACGAGCGCCATCAGTTCCGTGTACGGCGGCGGCGGTGGAGGCGGCGGCGACCGAGCAGCCGACGGGGGAGCGTTGTGCGTGCAGCGCGGCATCACCACGCGCATGGTGGCATTGCCCACGCTACGCGCCCGCGTTAGTCTGTGCCGGTCCTCCTCTCGCACGACGACGGCGTTGGCCGACGACGTGGGGGCGTCGCCGGTCGACCGACGCTCAGCGGCTGCCGTCGCCGCTGGTTGGAGTATCACGGCTGCGAGTAGCGGTGTTCGAATCTGCCTCTCGGTAGAAGGGGAGAGCACGCTGCAGGAATTTTCCAATGATTCTAACCCATCAGACATCTCCTCTTCGTCGTCGGCTGTCGGAGCATCTCCCGCAGACGCTTGCGTATTTGTCTCCGAACGGTGGACACCAACTGACATGATCTGTCGGTCTTTGAAAACTTTTTGATCCAAGTATATCACAGATGTAGCTCGGATGGAATCATTGGTATATACGACTGATAACTTGGCTTCTTCGGAAATACGCTTCATCAGAATCCCGAGAGAATTCTTGCCAAGACAAAGGTTATGGAACCACATGGGGGATAGCTCTGTTACGCTATTCGCCTTCATTGGTTTTTGCCATAATCTGTTCAAATATGGGTTCAACTTGGACAGCAGTTTCTCAAATGACGCAACAGGGCATAAGAGGTCACCTAAAATGAGAATGGTAAGATTTTGTAACATTTTACACCTAGTTTACATTCATATAATTTGTTTCAACTGACTTGCTTTACATATTGATTTTAGAGGCAGCACTTGGATTATGAAATTGATTTTATACTACACTGTACCTCGTATCTCATACATTCGCCCTTCACTCCTGGCACCATCCGCAGTCTTGTGATTTTTGGCCAGTTTACCGACTTGCTGATAGACAAACCGCCGTCCACTAGCATCGGTACTAATTGCAAAGTGGTCTACGGTCATTTTACTGAGATTCTCTCTCCCACTTCTGCAAAGATACAGTTGTATATCAAACTGCACTTTTGTCTGGAGTCCACTGGGAGTATTTGCTGACATGCAGCTACTATGGTACAACTTCTGCAGGTCTTCTTCCGTTATTGCAGGATGATGATAAACACCTTTTCCTATTCTTTTCAAGTCTTTTATTTTGGCTTTGAAAACTACGTTGGCATCCTTGAACTCACCGTCGTCAATAATGTCCCACTTGCGTTTACATTGAAAATATCTCTGAAGTCCATATCTAATCCCAATCAAGCCATTACACTTGTATTCCTCGCTATTCTTTTTTCTCGCACACAGAAAAAATTCCTGAAGAACTGAACAGAGTTCGGTTACTTCAACAATGTTCTCCGGTAATGTTTTCGCAGTTTCTTTGCAGAAATCACGTAGCACAGATACGGCGTTTTTAATGACATTCTGAGTGTTTTGACTGTCTTTGCGTTTTACTAGATCTGACACATTGACTTCATCCACTGGTTTAAACCGTCTACGCTTTTCTTTGGGCTCAATATGCTCTTCATCATTGTTCAAAGTCTCATCATTAGCATCAAAACACTGTAAATCGAGCCCGCAGTACATCGTGGCGGCCATTGTTTACATTTGCGTTCGATTTGCTTCCCCAAGTTTAGATGGGTACCCGTCCCTTCTCGCAAGCTCGGCTTATATAGGCTTATATCGAGTTTGTGAGAAGGGACGGGTACAAGTCTACACAATGACGAGCCCGACTGCGACGCTAGATGGCAGCAGACAACACCAGCCATGATCAGGCTCAGGCATGTTTTTACCATCGTCTTAGAAATACTCAAATAGCACTAGAGGAGTATTTCTTGAGGAACTTTCGTACAGATGACTTCGTAAATGATACGCGCAACATACAGCATAAGATGTACTGTTGTATCGGCATGAATATAAGGAATATGACGTGAAATACGTGAATGTGCATTGTACTTCAACTTGTTCCGTTGTTGTAGCATTTTTGCTAGACCGAATAATTCTGTCCCAGATAACCTTTTTTATGGGTGCCAGGGTGTCACGTTCCCCCGGGTGTAGATGGAGAGTCACGTGATGTGGCTGCACTTGTGTTAGGATTAGGGTTAGGGAAATAAAGCCATGTCTAGCACGGAAGTATGACTGGAATCTTTCTTTGGGAGATTTGGACTTTGAAGCGTACGAAGTGACTAGTGCTGCCACGTAACGGCACCCTCCATCTACGCCCGGGGGAAAGTGACACCGCTTTTTTATAGGCTGTGGCTACGGGTACGGCAGCCGTTTCTTAATGTCTCGAGGCTGGAGGTACGGGAGTCCATTCGCTTTCATACTTAACGAGACAAAGATGTCGGCGGGTGGCGCCAGATTTGGAAATAACTCCTTGGGAAATAAATTCACGATTTGAGAGTTTAGATGAGCTAGCTAGAACCCTAACGCCAAAAAGGGGCTTTAACGAACGACGGCTGCCGTACCTCCTGCCACTGCGTTTTTTATATTTTGGAGAGGGTTATTGGGACAGAACGGGGTGCATTGAAATTTCGTGAGATCGCATGCAAAATGCATGCGCTGCTAATGTGGCCCGTATGCCGGTATCGGTGGGTAAAAAAGCCTATCGTTTCCTTCTACATGGCTTTACCTAACCCGACCAGGCTGTGTGACTAATGTCAATATACACAGCCTGACATCCATCCATTGGATAATCTTGTACCTCTAAAAAAACTGACGAACAATTACGTATATCTCAAATAAAATAATCATCTAAGCATTTCTGCCTTGGCTTGTATCAAGTATAACCTTCACCTTATAGTATTCCAGCATTGTTATTAAAACTAATACCTCAGTTCACTCTGCACAGTGTAAATTTCAAGAGCCGAACCTAAATTTCCGCCAACTGCCAACCGCCATGTTTCCACTGCACATGCGTTTCGATTGGAACGCGGAAAACCCGAAACGACATAACATACCATAGCGTTGCAACTCGCGTTGGCGCGAGCATAAATAAGCATCATATACTCGTATCTTACTATAATTTGGCGAATGTTGTATGTATGTTAATGAAAGGCTCCGTCAGTTTGGATCCAAATAGCGCCAAATTTACAGAAGAGATCGATGAGTACACGGGACGGGTTCTAAACTATACTCGGTTGAAAACCGTTTGTTCGGTCTTAAAAAAGACAAAAAAATCACAAAAAAGGTAAACATTTGCCTGAAAATAGGGGGCGCTGTTTTGTTTACGTTTTGTTTCAACAGGTTTCAATTTCGTGTTGTTCTGTACGTGTATCTCTGTTCTGTGTCAGTGTGTCTGAGATTTGTGTAAGCCCCATAATGTAAGTAGAAATAACCATGTAATAATGAAGTTAAATATTCAGTAGCTATTAGTCCATAGTTTCCCATATGAGATGTAGGGCCTACAAGTTGAATTTCATTAGTGCAGATTTTTTTGGAAGTCTGCAATGCTGTACAGTGTACGGGTGCCGTGGACACCGATCTGTCACAAGCGGTCCGATCACAAGCACGTAATATTACGTCGTCCGCACAGAGTGCAAACATGCGTAGAAATAAGCGATCACAACCACGCAATATTACCTGGTCCGCACACAGTGGAAACATGCGAAGCACGTAATATTACGTTTACATTATACCCATTCACATCTATCTATATTCTAACTTTGGAGTCCGTATCATCAACCAGTACATAGCTTACAATAAAACGTTTCTGTGTGGGTGTGTGTATTTCACTGTGTACTTGCCAAACAAATGGTTAATGTGTTACGTGTAAGCATGATTGCATGTATTTGTATTGACTTCTCAACCATAAAAAACAAACATGTGCAACAACTTAACTCTCCATATAACACCTTACACATAACACTACTGCACTGGTAACACATGCATCACAGTCACTCAGCCCGCGCGTAGCGCGGGTTTCAGCTAGTATATATAAATATTAAAACATTGAAAACCAGGAAACATCAATCTACAACAACTTAATAATTATCATTGCGAAGATATGTACTTGCCTTGTGTTTAGGCCTACGCACTATGGAAATCAGGTCGATTGGATTTTATCCGCACCGAACATGGCGGACATGGCGGCTCTCTGGTTGTTTTGATCCAATTCATCTCAGAAAATACGGCATAACTCGATAAATCAGTAGCGCCCAGTTACCGCGAGGAAGCCAGAGGTTTATAGATTCGTTTGAGCTATTACATGTGACGCTAGCTGTGGCGATGTTTGGATACCGAGCCAACTACACGTTTTTATGGGCAAGAATTTGAAACGGTCTCCTAAAGCCCGGCGCACACGTGGCGATTTTTATCGACAGTACCGGCGATTCTGTTGCCAGCAACAAAATCGCCGAGAAATCGCCACGTGTGCGCTGCCCGGCGTCACCGATTTTGACGCTAGAAACTCGTCGCTGGAATATCAAACATGTTTGATATTTGTTGCCCAGTCGCTGAACAATCGCTACGTGTGCGCCGCACTGGCGATGGATTCCGGCAACAGTTTTTGGATTAACCAATCAAATGCATGATTTGAAGCACGTGATCAAATATTGGCAGCGCCCGTGGTGTGGTTTGAACAGGTCACGTACAGTTCATACAGTGGTATGTCGCTGACAGACGGTTGAATTGTCGCCGGGTGGCGCACACGTGGCGATTTTTATCGACAGTACCGGCCGATAAAATCGACAGTACTGTCGATAAAAATCGCCACGTGTGCGCCGGGCTTAACCCTAGCAAAGACCGTTTCTTGGAGCTAGGCTTTACCTTGCTACTGATGTGCGTGAATATTCACTTCAATCGTTATTCACTTCTTAAAAGATTGTTTTTCAGAAACCCCGCTCCATTCCATTTTAGCAAATCACATTCGCCATTTACAAACAATTAGACCAATCAGAGCGAGCCTTACAATAGCCTGGTTTTCTCTTGTATCTGTGGCGCTGCAGGAGGGCTAGAGAACATTATTTTAGTCACATGGGTTCGTGCGTTTCGCTCTGGTTTTGCTTTTAATTTAAATTTGTATTCCGAATAATTTCTTCTAAGTAGTCGACGTAGTACCCACGTGAATAAAAATATTTCCTCTAACCCTATGGCAGCGCCACAGATACAAGACAAAACCAGGGCTATTGTAAGGCTCGCCTCTGATTGGTCTGATTGTTTGTGAATGGCGAATGCGATTTACTAAAGTGGAACTGGAATGAAGCAGGGTTTCTGAAAAACAATCTTTTAAGAAGTGAATATTCACGCACATCAGTAGCAAGGTAAAGCCATGTAGAAGGGAACGGTAGGCTTTTTTACCCGCCGATACCGGCGTACGGGCCGCATTAGCAGCGCATGCATTTTGCATGCGATCTCACGAAATTTCAATGCACCCCGTTCTGTCCCAGTATAACGCATCGAAAATATAAAACGTTATCTGGGACAGAATTATTCGGTCTACATTTTTGCGTACTACCAGCTGAGGCATTGGGCCCTAGCCTAACGCAAAATCAATTTGGAACTGCATTACGACTCACTTACAGATTTATATTAATTTAAAATAATTAATCCAGCTAAACCTTGCAATTACTGTAGTATTCGTCTAGTACTATGTATATCTGTCAAGATTATGTATAAATCTGTTCGATTTGTTTCGATATGTTGATCAGAATAGTCATAACAAACCGCTATCGGCTGTGTAATGTCTGGCTAATTGTCTGGCCCCAGTAATTTCTGCATAGGTGTAAAGTTATTGGGTAAAATTGCAAAGTTAATCTATTTTTTACTTCATTGTTTTAGTCTAACATTAAAATTTAAAGCACTGTCACTTTAGGATATTAATTAAGTTTGTTGGAGGTCAGTGATTGAAGTAGGTTGTTTGAAGGATCTAACACACAACCAACTATGCCAACTCCACATTCTACCAATGAAGCATTCCATGCAGAAACGACAGGGCTTAATGAAAGAATAATAGTGGGATGAAAAAAGCACATTAAAGTTATTATTTGGAACATAATCTCGTGTTTTCCCCACTTTTACGACACACGTATGTTTGCATGCTGTTACTATACATGTGGCTTGAGTAACAGCAATTGTTTAGAGTAACAATAAAATGTCTTACAACCTTCATATTCACTAACATATGCACGATTCAAATTTTGATTACTCGTTTTAATTACTTCCGCCATTTTTTGCGAATCTCGGATCCAGCTAATAGCGCCAGCTATCGGCCAATTTCAAAAGATAAACTGAGTCGACAACTCGTAATAGCAGAATCAGATGCCCCTTTGTTTGCAGTTTTAGTGCACCAACAATTGACAAGTTTACCCATTCTGACTAAAGGGTGGCTTATGTCGGGCTTGCGAGCCGACTCGACTGGAAGCAACTGGAAGCGATCGGCAGCAACTAGTTGCGTCCAGTTGCCCACTGTTCTATTCCGAGCAACTAGTGGCGGCCAGTCGCAGGCAGTCGCGTCGCAGTCGACCGACCTAAGCACTGCAGTCGCAGTGAATTGCAGCCAGTTGCTTCCAGTCGAGTCGGGTCGCAAGCCCGACATAAGCCCCCCTTAAAGGCATAATAGGCCCATCGATTATGCAATTTTAACAAATGCTAGAGTGACTGGCACCTTGTGTAGTTAATAAGTACATTACCTTATAGCCAAACGCGTATTAGTTTGTCCAATATCACTGCTGGTTACTAAGAAATGTCTAATTGAAATCTGCAGTCCACGAAATCAGTTGACTGACTTGTTTACAGTTTCGAAACCGCATACTTCGAAACGGGTGTGATACAGATTTATAGTCCACCGGACATTTTCGCACGCATGCAAAAACGCACGCACGCATGCATTTTCGCTCGGCCGTACGCAATGCTAGCGATAGTACAGTACCGTAACTGTATACGTAACAGTAGCTCTGATTGTAATGAACGTGGAATCCACGTACGAATCACGGACGCTCGTGATAATGAAGTAGGCCGTGTTGGGGGCCAACGCTATGGGAGGATCGCGGACTAACCACGGCCACAGACTAAACATGGAAAGCAGACGGCACTACGCGTATTTACGTATATTGGTCAAACGAATACACCTGTCTGAAATTGAAGACATGTGGGTACCCGTTCATTAGCACCCACGATTATTTACTTGTGCCTCAATACCGAGAATACACCCAGAGATACATTAATTCTACTAGCTCATTAGTCGTATATAAGAATCCCGGGACAAACCATTTTCTGCTAAACACCCGCAGCAACATGTGACGTTGCCTAACCGAATTCGAGGCTATTTTGCTTGGCAACCAATTTAGCGTTGGCGCCAGATTACCAGATTTACGGATTTCAATTAGACATTTCTTAGTAATTAGCAGTGATATTGGACAAACTAATACGCGTTTGACTATAAGGTAATGTACTTATTAACTACAGAAGGTGCCAGTTACTGTAGCATTCGTCAACTTTGTATAATCAATGGGCCTATTATGCCTTTAAGGCATCATTTGTAATTTGATTCTCTCTATAATTAAAAGTACTATGGTGTTACCATGTATTCAAATCGAATTTTCTATGCTATATAATAAGTTAATAACTGCATAAATTTTTAGTGTTTTCCAAGTTAGTGTAATCAGTGATATATCTGCTCTGAAGTGATACTATATTTCACTATATTTTTTTCGGATTGAGCATTTCTGAGCAGTAATCTCGCAATAAACCATTTTAAGTAGGTTGTATGAGTAATGTAACATTACCATATTTTTGTGCCGCTTCCCCCCAATTTTGCGAAAATGAGACCTGGGGTACCAAAGGCTTGGATACAGTAATGTAATTACTTTATTGCATCTAGACAGCCTACAAACTATAATTATTAGGTACCCAGGTATGCTATAAATAAGGAAAGTGTGCAGAAAATTAATATCACAGGTTCCTTGTCAGGTTTGAATCGTGCAGTGTAATTATTGTCATAGCAACTAGCAAGTCTATATCTCAACAATGATTCTATTTTATTTCAGGTGCATTGCATAGCAACATTCGAATGTGCCAACTGTGGATTTGATAGATTCACATCATGGGCAAGAAACGAGATAAAATGCAGTTTGGCAGGAGGCGGAGGGTTCTTCAACTGGACCAGGATGTATTTAGGGAGGAAGGTAGGCATTTTTAATTTTTTGCCGTGTAGTCATAATATCTTATTTGTAGTTTTATTATGAATTTCCTAGCAAAATTGTCAGTGATCCAGAATTTAATTAGGTAAGTCGCTATTTTTCGAACAGCACGATAAGATGTTTTACCACCTAAACTTCTTGACATCATTTTGGAAAACTATATTCTTTAATTAAGTAGAATAATATTAATATTTACAATCATTGCTCTTCCAGAGAGAAACACACCAGAGACAACATTTCGTGCACAGGATCAACCACAGTCCATGTTTGATCCAGTACAGAGGAGTGAACGTGTGGTAACACCAGCAAAACCTGAGGATGAAGAGATGTTTAAATTTCTACAGGTGCACATGGGGTTCTACTCTAGTATTCCTCACTGTTGTTTAATTTCATTGAATAAAAGGCCGCAATTATCGCACCAAATTTGCTATTATCAGCTATGTTGTCGTTATTGATTGGATAGCCTGTTTTATTTGTAGATATTTTATATATTTTTTGGCATCATTTTTTAGGAGATACAATCGTTAGATGCAGAAGAGGTTGCAGGTAGTGTAGCATCAAGTACCATAGAAAGTGAAAGCAGCATGGACAGCATGGACAATAAACTTCAACCAAATCATGACACCGGTAAAATTATAAAATTCTTGTGTATTGGGCTTAAAGATTCCAACGTATTACTAGCAGTTCTCAAAACAACTAATGGTGATTGAATGACTGTTTTGTCACAGTCTATTTACTGTTGTTAACTTATTACCAGGGGTGACTAATGACAGATCTGTTATTGTTCAGTTATGTTATTACTAATCTTGTATTCCTTGTAATCTATTGAGAGTAACATTCCCTAATATATTTTTAATGTTTTCACTATTTTCACTGATTCAACATTGATGTCTCACGTACGTTTATTTATCGCTCGTTTCAGTGGCAGCAGCCGGAAACAGCACAGAGTCTACCAGCCACGTGTCAACGATGGAGTGGAAGCAGATATGGGATGACAACGTATGCTATTACTACTACTGGAACACGGTGACAAACGCTGTCACCTGGGAGATGCCGGAAGATTACGCGAGGCACCTAGAAGCCTTTGGTTACGATGCGGAGGGCAATACGGCAACGACTACAACAGCAAAGTGAGTATCTCACTGTAGTTAGAAAGACACAGTAGTTACGAAGACAGTTGTGTATGCAGGTTGTCCGTGAATGTGGTTTGTGACATGTGGTGCCCCATTGCATGAAACGTTCTATCTAGTTATGACTGCCATAAGATGTCAGAACTTTTGCGCAATATTTCCTGTCACAACATGCTAGAGTGGTCCCTGCCGAGACGTTCCTACTATAACCCGTATCTCTCCCCAGGGAGGAACTGGTGCCTTTAACTGGTGGCGCAGTTAAGGCCACCTTGGACATTGACAACACAGCGGGGACCGCTGTGCCAGCAAGCGAGTTGGCACAGCCACTAGACATAATAGCGCCACCACCTCCGCCGCCTCCCGAAGATGACAACGAGACAGCCGAGCAGTCCGCAGCTCTGGTTGTGGACTCTTACCGTTCCCCGTACCGTGAGCCGAACCTCGCTGTGGGGCCGCAATCTCCAAAGCAGTCGGGTTCGTCGACGATGGAGGTGGTAGGGGCCAAGCGTCCGCTCACGCTGCCTGCCTGCAAGAAGACGAATATCAAGCGTCTGAAGCGGCATTGCCAGCAGGAGGAGGAGGAGCCGATTGGCGCACTAGAGAAGGTGTTTCGTGGCGAGGCCAACACCTCCTCCCTCGACTCGCTCTCCCTGCCCAAGCTGCAGGTGAAGTGGAAGACGGAGGAGCGGACGGCGGCGCAGAAGCGAAAGCTGGCGGCGTTTATCGAGTCTCAGCGCTCTCACGCTGACACTGACCCCGCGTCAGAGTGCGCAGATGGCCGCACAAAGGATGAAGGTCAGGCAAGATCCACGAGCGTGATCTTACCAATAAGGGAAGCGCATTCGCTTAAATCTCCGACAGGTGCTAACGTCGATGCGAGGCTGGGTGATGAGTCAGATCAACAATCTTCTGTTGAGGAGCGTGAGTGCGTGGAGACGTCGCTACCCTTGGGTAGAGTCCCAGTACTTTCGCCTGATGAATATGATGTTTCGGCACACCTGCCAACTTCTGCACAGTTATCTGACTCGAATTTCCCATTTAAAAGCCCACACACGGCGGTGGATGGTTCTGTGGTGCCAGTGGAAGGTCCTCAGTTACCAGTGGAGGGACCCCAATTGCCAGTGGTAGGTCCGCAGTTACCAGTGGAGGGACCCCAATTGCCAGTGGTAGGTCCGCAGTTACCAGTGGAGGGACCCCAATTGCCAGTGGTAGGTCCGCAGTTACCAGTGGAGGGACCCCAATTGCCAGTGGTAGGTCCTCAGTTACCAGTGGATGGACCCCAATTGCCAGTGGTAGGTCATCAGTTGCCAGCGGAGGGACCGCAATTGCCAGTGATAGGTCCGCAGTTACCAGTGGAGGGACCCCAATTGCCAGTGATAGGTCCTCAGTTGCCAGTGGAGGGACCCCAATTGCCAGTGATAGGTCCTCATTTGTCAGTCGAAGGCCCCCAATTGCCAGTGATAGGTCCTCATTTGTCAGTCGAAGGCCCCCAATTGCCAGTGCAAGAAGGATCAGAGTTGGCAGTGGAAGGTCCTGAGTTACCACCGAAAGAGGCAGACGAACCAACTGATAATGACAGTCATCTCACCCTTGATCATGGCTCACGTTCATCGTCAGCTAGTCCTGATGAGAATGATGATGATATCAACGGCAAACCACTGCTTTCTGATGACGATGAGGATGGATTTGGAGAGGAGGAACTAGAGCGACAATTGATAGAAAACTTGGTAGGTATCTGTTCTTTCGGCCGTCTTCTGAAAAATTTATTTGTGTTGTAAATTTGTTTTTGAATGTGTTAATTCGAATGTTCGTTGGTTAATTTCACAAGCCTTTCTTGCATAAGTTAAATAAATAATTAGTTGACTGTTGCTACTATTTCAGCATGTACTACAGAAACTAGAACAAGAAGAGAAGATCAAAGGCACATCAACTGAGAAGGAGGACGGTGGCAGAGAATCTGAGGAGAAACCTGCCCCAGGTACCTGGCTACACTCAAGAGACCATGTTTTAGCCATATTAAAAACGTCTCAGATTTCATCATGCAATTTTCATGATTGCCTATCCGTTCTTGGAGTATCTTTTACGGGTCTGACACACAATGAAAGCACGGTATTTCTTTGCCAGATAATTAATGTTTAGTAATAATATATTCTCTGTGCCATATTTTCCGTTAAACACCTCAAACAGTTCTGGTCACATCCAAGTTTTTGATCTGTTCACTACATAAAGTCGAGTACATGTTGTGTTAATAAAGATGTAGCATCTATGTTTGTTTGAATTGTCTTACAACTGTTTTTCTGTATGTGATCTCTTCATATATTAATATAGCAACGACTGAGCAAGCATTGACAGAAGAAGATCACATTGATGACATAAAGGTAATCATGAATGGCATTTACAGATACCCTATCAAATAATAGGGTCATATAAAATATTGTGGCCTTAAAATTCGTACGTACACACATTCCGTTTGATTTTCTAATGCCTATATGTTATATATTTTAGGTTGAAGTTGCAGACTTGTCAAGCACTATCACAAGTAAACTGGAATTCTTGGAGATTTCTACGCAGGGACTAACCCAGCTACAGATCCTCCTTATTCAAACTCAGGTGTGCTTTTTAGCATGGATCCGTCATAATAATTTAACTTATGCGTACACTGCATCTGATATGCTCTTACAATATGACAAGTGCTGTTGTTGTCAGAACAGACTGCTGATTTGCTGGAATACCTGTGTTATAATAATAATTATAATAATTTATAGTGGTGCCTAATGTAACAGATTACGTAGACCACACTTAGTTTTACCTCTGACCGGACAGAGCTTTAGTAACATTTTGTGATGATGTCTTATTCCCTGATTCCATGTTTAACATTCTGTATTTGCATGTTTCATGCTTTAATATTCCATGTTATCCTGTGTTTTAATGTTCCATGTTGTTCAATGTATGTGATGTTTCAGGCACGGTTGCAGGACTGGCGGGAGGGTGGCCTGAAAACGGCTCACTTCTGGTGTCGTTTACAAGACGCCAGCCAGCAGCTAGAGCAGTACGAACAGTTGGCGGCGCCCCCTGGCTGGTCGTGCCACTGGGACAGGTACGTTGACTTCCTTTACGTTTTGCTTTCGTTTACCGTGTGCTCTTCAACCTTTGCCGTCGACACGAGAAGTGATAGCAGCAGCAGGTTGTGTTCGGCCGTGGTTCGTTGTCATGGACACCGCGTCGAGGCGACTGCGTATGAAGCGAGAGCGCATGCAGCATAGCCTTGGTTGCCGCGCAATTCCGTGTATCAGTCGTCGATGACGTCAAGGTCAAGGATACGGTCAACAGGAGCGGTCAGCGAGGCGTAGTGAGGCCCAGCGAGAAACCATCGCCATGGAAACGTTAGGCTCCGATGATGAATCAAGGGTCGGTGTGACGTCCCGCCGATTGTAAGCGATTGCGAATTGGACGTGTGTCGTGACTGAGTAGCATGGGAAGCTCCAGTGAATGGATTTCTTGAGGCTGTGACCGGTCGACACCCAGACACTGCGTCGCGAGACTGGATGAAGCATATAGCTCTGAGGTTGGCATCAATAGTAGGTGTTTGAGCAGCATAACCTGGATTTTGCAAGGTCAGACCGGGCGGATAGCAGGAAGTCTGGCATTCCAGAGGTAGATGTTGGTAAGAGTATGTTGGCATTCTGTATTTTGTTCATATGCATAAGTTATATTATTAACTACTGAAGTTATATGGGAATGTAAAGTTATTTTAAGGATAGGTTCTAAATTTTGTGGGTATATAAGTGTGTTTGGCATGGGAAATTTGTTAGGGCACGATTTACATGACTTAGCCATGGGGAGGGGGTTGCTACACCATAGGGAATAGCATGATGAATAGGGTGGGTGGCACTTTAATTTTTAATTTAACTCAACAGGCACGTCGATATGTCTAGATGGAGGTGGCACCGCTGGGCAAGTTTTGGCAGAGCAGGAGCATTTCGGCAGCAGCCACATATGCTGTAACCTGATGCCTCTGTGTGATAGCGTGCAGCCACAGCCGTGCGCTTGTTGGCCGGAGTGTAGGCGCGCATACAAAGGCGACAATCTCTCCTCCCTCAGAGTCCACTGTCCACTACCCCTTGCAGCAGACCACCCTGAATGTATATAGTAGATAAGGGGAACAGAATAGACAGAGTTTAGTAGATTCATGGAAATTCAATGCGATTAAGATGTTTAATTGAGTAACTTCAACTTGCTAGCAGGAATTATTTCAGTTTGATTGAATCCGGATAAGTTTATCAGCGCAGAGAGTCTAGCAATAAGTTATGCAGTAGAGTTTCCACGATTACAGATGCACCCATATTGTTTGTCATTTGATGATTTTAAATACAGTGTGCGTAAGATGGTTGTACATGAGGGCCATACCTGGTGATCAGCTCTGGTTAGAAAAGGTGTGATTACTATGCACGTTTCAAACGTGGTTGAGGGAACATCAAGTATATTCTCTGCAAACTTCAAGTTTGTCCCCTTCTGCCATTGTAGCCGTCGCTGCCACCCACGAAACTCAATGACCGGCTGACATCTTCCACGCAGAATCTCTCATCTCTGAACCTCTTTCCTTTTCGCAGGATTTACAAACGCTATTTCTATGTGAACGAGATCACGGGCGAGTCACAGTGGGTTTACCCATGCCTCGACGACGACGACGACGACGTCAGTACAGAGCACGCGACTACGAAAGAACCAGTGATGCCACCTGCCGAGAACACAGAACCGTTGATGCCTGAGCAATCGTCGTCACGCAACGAGGGAGAGGCAGTGAGTGCAGGAGCACAGAAAGAGGACGCCGACGTTCAACAGGTAAATCTAGCTAATTGACTCATCCGGCACAGAGTGACGGCCGGCTCTAGCAAATGGAGTTGCGATCAAACTTACTAAAAACATTGTTCTGTAACAAAGTGCCACATCACAAACATTTGGCGTGCGCGCAACCCCACGTATGAATCAGCTAGACTGACCTAGCAGCGATAGGTGCAACCTGCATACGAACCTGCAAGTGCAGTATATAGTTATCTCATTCTCTATGGCTAGGTGAGTTCCGCGCGTAGATTCCACGTTGATCTGGGCGTAGGAGTTCGAGTAAGCATACAGCTGTGTGTGAGTCACAACATTACGACAAGTGGCTTTATCTGCCCTCTGTGCCCATCGGTTGTGTCGCTGTCAGGTGTGCACTTTGCGGGCGAGCGGACGAGAATGCGAGAGTCCACTCACGAGCGATGAAGACTCTCTCGACGGTCAGCCGCTGCAAGAGGAAGCGTCAGCTCCCGGCGACGGGGAGCATGAGAGGAAGCCTGCGAGTGAGGAAGCGGTCGTCTCCATAGCAACGGTGAAGCCCGAGGCAGAATCAGTGAAAGAGGCAGAGTTGAACTCGAGAGCTGTCGAGGCAACTTCTTTTGTGCAACCAAGCGATGAGAGCAACGACTACAATGATGAACCTCTTCCACCCGGTGACTATAATCAGCAACGTTTACACCTTGTGCATGTGTGCGTTCGACGTAGTGTTTTAGGATGCTACAAAAGGAGTTAAATTTGTCGGCTGTGGATTGAAAAGTGCGGGAAATCGTAGCTGTCTTCATGCCAGTAATCTAGACGTACACGTATTAATACGTATTTGTGTTATACTATAACTGCAGGGACAGAGCCGGTTGCACTGAGACCTCTGGTACCGTACGGTGTTGATGCATCGATGGACGACTCTGAACCACCACCACCCCCACTCTCACCACCAAGTGTCCCACCCCCTCCTCCCGATGATCCCATCCCTCCTCCCCCACCCGAGCCAGCGATGCCACGCTCCCCACCCCCACCACCGCCCCCGGACGATGGTGGAGAGTTTTCAGATGGTATCGATATGGAAATTGACGAGGCAAGTTCTTTTTATTGTATCGTAGCTCATGGAACATTAAACTATGTATCATAGCATAATGCATTGTATATGGTATTGTAGTTGCTGAGCAAATAATCTGTAATACAAAGCATTGTTGTGCAGTATAATATACGTTATGAATTATTATTATGAATTAAGTATTATATTACGAATACAGCATATTATGTATAGGACTTCTTTGCCATTTTCTACTTCATCCTTTCAGAGTTCTGATGAGGAACACAACAGGATACAGACGGGAATGCCCCCGCTTCCTCCTCCTCCATTGCCCTCATTCTCATCTGAGTCATTCAGTGTGCAACCCCCTGCACCTCCCATCTCCTTATCAGCTCAACCACAATTGCTACCGTCGTCACTACTCCAGGAGTTTCCAAAAGCCCATCTCCAAACATCTATTTCAGAACCACACATAGCAGCAGCACCAACCATAATTTGTCCGCCCAAACCCCCGGCCACGCCCTACATATCAGTTCTGCCCGTGGTCAGCAAGCCACCAGAGCTTCATTTCGGAGCGGCGTCATCTGCTGGTAATCTTCCCGCTGAGCCGCCGCCGTTAACTGCTACAGAGGCATTGACCAGTAGTGGCAAACCGTCGGTGTTGACACTTGGGCAGACAGGGAAGTCCACGAAAGAGAGGAAGAAAAAGAAGGTATACTGTTGTAGTTGCGAGGGGAAAAAATTTCTGGCAGAAAGCGTGTGACACCGTTTTTTGTTGTTGTTAACTATGTGTTTACTCACTTCCTTTGCCTGTGTCTAACCTAAAACTGCTGTTGATTCACAGAGTCATTACTTTACACACACTTTGTAGTCTATTGTCTGCTTCTGATATGAAAAAAATATCACTCCCCCAATTACATCGCTAGTCTTGCCATTGTATGTCTATCTGATACGCTCTAGGCAAAGACCGAGAAGTCTTTGAAGAAGAAGGGTCTGTCACAGCTAGTGCAGAAGTGGCAGAAGGTGCGAGAAGAAGAAGGCGAATCTAGTGAAGAGGAAGATGCAAACCCGGTTCAAAAGTGGATAGAAGACTGGAAGAAAAAACAGTTAGCAAGGTAAAAGAGAAAAGGCGGAGGGCAGTTGACACTGTACTTATATATATGTTTGAAATCAATATATATATCACTATATAACTTCTTCTAAAATCGATCAGGAAATATATTGTTGCATCTTTTTAGTTATTTTGGGAGCCAAGTGTTTCGATAATATTCAACAATTGTTAGTAACAATAAAATATCTACATTTGCAGCGGAGAAGCAGAGAACAACCCTAACTTTGAGGCAGTTGGCATGGATTGGAAAGAGAGAGTGCGGTTAGCACAGTCAAAAGCAAACACGACGTCCGATGACAAGCCTAATCTGTTGGCACTTGCACTGCAGCAGAAGAAGTAGTGCTGTATACTGTGTGGGTCGGTGAAACCTCTGTGGTCAAGTCAGGGACAGTCGACGCACCGACTCCACTGTAAAGACTGTGCCGGCACGTCAAGGGCAATGTCATCTTGCTTTATCGCGCATTTATGTATATTTGAGTACATAGACATCAGATCTTTTTGGGTGGTGTTACATGATGGTCTTGGCATGATGTGGCCCAGGTGTCAGACAGCAATTTCTGGCATTACTAACTGCGAGATCCTTAGCTATTGGATCGCGTTACATGTATTTATATATTAATGTCGTAATAGTGACAACAAAACACCCAACAAGATAGCGACTGCTTTCCGTGTACCTCCAGTCCAAACTAGTTCTATCGATTGGTTAGACTAGCCAGCAGCTTTTAGAAATACATCAGGAGCACTGTGACAGTTATCTAACAGAAGTGTGGAAGCCCCGGTTGGTATTCGTAATTCTTCAGCACAGGTAGTTTGCCATTTAATCAGCCTTATGATAGATGTACGGAAAGCTTGAATTGTATTGCTCGTAAAATTTTGATGGCAATCTGTACATAGTTTTTGCCATGTTAAAGTAAATGACACGTACTTTTATTTGACGTATTTGATTTTGTGTATTATCTACAATGATTAAGGCACTATCTGGGAATAAGAAATCCATTAATTTATTCTGTACTGGTAGTGCAAGCTTGTAAAAAACCATAGCAATGCAAAATAAGCACATAATAACATCAATCAGTTTTCCAATTTATTTTTATTTTACACTGGCAACGTCAATAACGCATTGCCCCACATTGTAATCGACTGTAGAACACGAATGGCTACCACCTCATAATTTTCGAATTGGTTGCACTTCTCCTTGCGAGATTGCAAATGATTGCAATGGACGACATTGCAGTACTGTGCTACAAAACACGAACAATGCAACAATCTATATATTGCGGTGGTGGAGAGGCGGGGTCCTGGCGCAAGTTGAGACTGCTCCAAAACAGATTCATATACAGCCTCCACATAATCGAAGGACCACACGGTCCACCTGTCGCGTATACCTTACTCTTATGTGAGATGCTGGAAAAGGTGATTGCCATGAGACAGTGTTTAATATGTACATTAACTTGCACGCTCCCCCCCCTCCATCTGCCTCTGTGTGGCATCAAGTATCGATAAGCATTAATTTATCCCAGCACAATGTACTCTCAACCGCTTCACATCGATAGCTTGATAACATATGGTTACTCTTCTAGCAGTTCTAAAGTGCTACTGTCTAGAGTCTAGACCAAATATACATCGAGGCAAGGCTCAAAATAAAGCTTTAGAAAATTCTCTAGTACCAATACCTGCGTAAAACATGGGTGCTAGGGCCTAGAATTTAATTCGCTTGATAAATACACTAGCAGTCTGTCCTATCTACATGTAGACAGCTCAAAATAAAGATTCAATTAATGCGGTACTCAAACCGCCATAAAGTAACACTCCTATCTTGTTTCACAACATCTATAATGTACAGACAATGTCGTACTTCTGATGAGCACATCATTAGCAACCAGCAATGGCACTACCATCATCGGCCCTAGCTTGCATGTACACTCTGTGTAACAGCATCATGCCTAGAACAACATGGTCAGTGCAGACTGAGAGAGGCAGCAGTCGGGAGTCGGGCGCGTCTCGCATTCACATTTCATTAAACGCGAGCATTGCGATTACAGATGATTCATTACAGCTAACACGTCCCGCGCGATGCCGTTAGAGGCAAACCTCCAAAACAAATAGCTGACAAAGAAGTATAAGCGACAAGGGGTGGTGAAGCAACCACAGCTGTTACAGGCCTCCATGCTGGCACCTTTGTGTACCAAACTGGCGCCATCACGAGCTCATGCTGAAGAATGTGTGTACGCGGCTTCTACGGTGGCGCCATCACGAGCTCATGCTGAAGAATGTGTGTACGACGGCTTCTACGGTGGCGCCATCACGAGCTCATGCTGAAGAATGTGTGTACGACGGCTTCTACGGTGGCGCCATCACGAGCTCATGCTGAAGAATGTGTGTCTGACGGCTTCTACGGTGGCGCCATCACGAGCCTCGACGGTGGCGCCATCACGAGCTCATGCTGAAGAATGTGTGTACGACGGCTTCTACGGTGGCGCCATCACGAGCTCATGCTGAAGAATGTGTGTACGACGGCTTCTACGGTGGCGCCACCATGGGCCTCGACGGTGGCACCATCACGAGCTCATGCTGAAGAATGTGTGTACGACGGCTTCTACGGTGGCGCCATCACGAGACTCGACGGTGGCGCCATCACGAGCCTCGACGGTGGCGCATCAGACTCATGCTGAAGAATGTGTGTACGACGGCTTCTACGGTGGCGCCACCATGGGCCTCGACGGTGGCACCATCACGAGCTCATGCTGAAGAATGTGTGTACGACGGCTTCTACGGTGGCGCCATCACGAGACTCGACGGTGGCGCCATCACGAGCTCATGCTGAAGAATGTGTGTACAACGGCTTCTACGGTGGCGCCACCATGGGCTTCTACGGTGGCGCCATCCTGAGCTCATGCTGAAGAATGTGTGTACGACGGCTTCTACGGTGGCGCCATTATGAGCCTCGACGGTGGCGCCATCATGAGCTCATGCTGAAGAATGTGTGTACGACGGCTTCTACGGTGGCGCCATCATGAGCTCATGCTGAAGAATGTGTGTACGACGGCTTCTACGGTGGCGCCATCATGAGCCTCGACGGTGGCGCCATCATGAGCTCATGCTGAAGAATGTGTGTACGACGGCTTCTACGGTGGCGCCATCATGAGCTCATGCTGAAGAATGTGTGTACGACGGCTTCTACAGTGGGACACACACGCTTCATATCGTCGAGTCGCACCTCGTTCTCGGTGCTGCGGTCGCGCAGCTGGTTCCACTGGTGCAGCACATAGCTGTACTCCTCCGCCTTCTCAAACCTGCCTGTCGTGCTGTACAGCCGCAGCAGTCCCCGATAATCATACTCCAGCCCACTGTATGCCTCGCCAAACAACTTCTTACCTACGACGAAATTACTTTGTAATCAGTCTCAGTCATATGTATACGTATAAATTGTATAGATGGGATCAGAAGTGAATAAAAAAATGTTTGTTGTAATTCACTCCTGATGGGATATATATACATACATATACGTATAGATATTACACTAGTATATATGGAACACTTCGGAAAAATGCCTCCTTTACACACAGTTGTCTGTCCTATACAGAAGTCACCACTGACACAGACGTTACATGTCTATGTAGATATTATGACCCACAGAGACAATAATGAATGGATAACAGAGGGTGCTGGCTGAGTGAGAAGCTAGTGCTTACCTATGGATATCGAACGCAGGTAGAGCTGTTCTGCATCGCTGTGCAATAGCATGTCATAATTGTAGAGCGAAGCCAAGTGGCCAACGGAGAGCGCCACCTCGTAATCTTCGGTTCCAAGCAGTTTCTCCTTGATCTCGATGGCTTTCAGGTGCATGCCTTGTGCCTCCTAGAAAAAGGAAATCAGGGTACAATGTGTTACATACACCCATGCTGCGGTGCTCAGACAAAGGTACAAAAAACAAACAAACATACAAACCACAAATAAACAACAACGGACGATGAAACAAATAATAATGCCAAATGCTTTCGTACGCCACCACCCCACCACGCTAACCTCGTGATGGTAATTGGATTGAAGCAATCTGCCCTGATGGCACCGTTTCACAATCAAACATACGATTATGCCGACCGCTTCCTTGTTAATGTGCTCACCTTGTACTGGTGCATAGACTGGTACAGTCTACCGAGATTGCCATAGTGTTTGGCCGTCTGCACATTCTCCTCGCCAAATGCCTTCTTAGCAAGCGACAGTGCCACCAGGTGGAGATCTAGCGCCTCCTGTAGCAGTCGCTCCTCCTTCTCCTTCAGGTGACTGTCGATGGCAATCTCCTCTAGAATGAGGGCTGAAAAAGTGCATCAACAAAGATCGATTCACGAAAAACGAAAATAGCCTGAACCCTTAAAGAATTCATGAAGGTTTTGAACTATTTCAATAAATGATGCATAAATGCATGTCTATAATGAATAAATCTAGTTTTATGTCTTGGTTTAGTTTTAGAGTTCCACTTTATTAGGCTTGCGATATCTCCTGACCCTCCGCTCACCTTTTACACGTTTTGAGGAAGCCATCAGCAAATGATCTTCTGGAAGAATCTGACTCATAATCTGAATGGCTTTCTCGGCATGCTCCCTAAAAGACAGACCAATAGTGTTCCCGAAATTAAAAAACTCACAACTGCAACGAAACTCCGTAAGAAATCGCAAAACACCGCCGAAAAACTTCAAAGATTGAACCAAATAAGCGATAATTAGACCAGTTCAATTATGTTGTTGCTGTTGTTGTTATTATAATCATAAATATTACTATTGTATTATTATTATTGTTATCATCATTATTATTATTATTAGTAGTAGTAGTGTTATTGCCTTATTACTGTCTCTAGTGAAAATTTGCCCTAGTGCCAACTATCTAAGAGAAAATTCAGAATTACTGGGTACTGCATGCCTGCGCACACGTACCTAGCATCAGAGAAGCGACCTGAGCTATATTCATGAACATAGAGGGCATAAGCAAGGTCCTCATGAGCTATCGCGACATGGATGTTCTTCCCTCCAAACACAGACTGTCTTACATCTAGGGCCGTCTGAAAATACACAACGAACATATACACGCCAAGTAGATTCTCACACTATTTTTGCAAGCGCTAAACCTTTTGGTTTTGCGCTTGTCAACATGATAAGGAAAATATACATTATCTAGAACGTATTTCAGTGACACATTCAACAATTTGATTCTAAAAATTGCCAATCGATGCCTACATTAATAGAGGCTGGAAGCTACCTTTTCACCATGCACCCATTAAAATGACATAAATTGGCCAGAAGTTACGATCACATTATTGCACAATGGTAAGCATTTAGAAAGTTGAATTCTTCACGAGAAACACCACGTACTTGGTACACTTGAACCGACTGACTGATTTGGTCAACGTTGAGAAGATAGAAGCTGTAGTCCAATAGAGTGTCAGCGTACTTTGGATGCTGGCAGCCAAACGCATCTCTGAAATAATAATCAGCTCTTCTATCTCATCCTGGTTAACATTTTTCTGTAATTCGATTTTAACACATACTTATGCAGTCAAAGTGATCAATGTTTGAGCTTTATTTCCCACTCTCTGTGGGGGAGATCGATTGCAGCGATATCGCACTGGGGCGGTTGCCATGACAACAGTACCTTGCAACGTGCACAGCCTCCGTTATTAGCATCTCTGCGCGTCGAAACTCCCGTTTCACGACGCATGCCTTCGACGCCTGTCTGAGAACGTCAACTATGACCTTAGATGGTAGAGCTGAGGTCAGACCCTTCAGGGCTAGCGTGCTCCATTTATACGCCTAAAGAGAGATACATTGACTAATTAACCCATCATTACACAATCAATGCCAATCATGTCTCTCTATCTCAGATGCAGACCTGCTAGCATGATTTAAAGCTATATTTGCGAGATTCTTGCTCAGAAACACTCAATCCGAAAAAAATATAGCGAAATATAGTCTCACTTCACAGCGGATATATCACTGATTACACTAACTCGAAAAACACTATGATTTTATGCAGTTATAGCATAGAAAATTGGATATGAACACATCGTAAGATTTGTAATACACTGAAATTTTATCGTACCACAAGAATGTCAGAATGGGTAAATTGTATATTGTCGGTGACAAAATTGCAAACATAAAAGCATCTCAAAATTCTGTAAGAGATGTATATGTCTATGGCCGATAGGTGGCGATATCAGCTGGTCCAAGAGAGTAGCTGGTAAAAACACAATATTATACTCGAAAATACACCACCCATGTACACACGAATTTACTTCATCTAACACTGAACGTAAGCGCTACTTCTTCACACACGTCTTACTTTATTCACTTCTTCAAGATTAGTCTGCTAGAAATAAACGAAATGACCGAGTTAGTAATTATGTTTAGTAACTTATGTAAGCAGCAATGAATTCATCAGTGTCGATTCTCACCTCGTCATATTGGCTTCTAACGAAGAAGAGCGAGCAGAGTTCACAGTAGAGACTAGATGTGTTAATCGGATGTCCGGCACTGATCAACTTCTCCGCATAATACTGGGACTCGTGATATGAAGTGTCCGACTCCGTGAACTTACAGTAAAGATTCCGTGAGTGCAGCAACCTGTGAGAGAATAAAACAGTGTTCTGATCACTTGGACTTGTCTACCATATGCTAATGAGAATCTACACAATTGATTGCATTTAGTCCTAACATAACGAAAGCTCAGATAAGGGCAATGTGTTTATTGCAGCTATAATGCATCCTGTTAAATGGCAATAATGCTATGAGCAGAGCTCTACCCATCTTTTGGCATTTCGCTCCTTAGTAAATGCATTTATACAACTACTACACATAACTGCTCTACTGTATGTTCCTTGACCAAGACAAAAACATTTTGCGCAGAGTATTGTGTAATCATAATAAACCTGATGCAACACTCGAGGCACTTTGTCCAGTTGGTGGTATTATTTTCGAGTTTGCAGAGCTGGAAGCAGGCACTCATGACTCTTTCACTTGCGCAGTACCATCCTGCCTCGCTGAGAAATGCTTCTGCAATGTGGCAAAGCAGAATAAAAAATACAGACTCTCACAATTAATCAAATTCACCTAACGTTTTAAAACTGACAGCTAAACGGTTGCTTACCACGACGGTGGCGCCACTGGAAGCGCAATCCACTGAAAAAGTTGTGCAAAGCAACATTTCGGCTGCAGGCTACAGACCGAGGGGGTTTCTTATTTATTAATTTAAAAGCAGAAGGATTGCAATATCTTATAAACGACACATAGTTTTAGTTATAATATGGACGAATTTGTCCTAAAATAAATATCGTTCAGTTAAATAGCATTTAGCTATAAACATAATTGCACCTTTATGATTAGACCTCGGTCTGTAACGTGCAAAATAAATTGCAAATGTGCAACTTTTACAAGGTGGCAGCACAATCGCGGGTTATGTCGGCACCAAAAAATGAAGATTTCGAAACTCAATGTTGTTTTATGACAAACGTGAATGCGTAATTATAGAAATTTGCAGGTATGTGCTAAATTATTTATGCATTTACTATTATAATATATTCTAAAATTCTAGGGGATAGTATCTCTTTAAGTACATGCCTAATGCAAATCCAAGCTGTATTGTACGATCCTTTACAGTTTGAACGGACGCATGTACAACACAGCAGTTCTGGCTGTATGAGTCTGCAAGAATGTCAGCTATCCTTATACCCTGATCCATCAGGGCTTGGAAGCAATGGTGGAGCAGGTGCCTATAAATAAAGTCACACATTGTAACTAACATCCAATTTTATCTGGATTACCAAAATTCTTACATGCCTAAAAATTCATTGTGATTGCTTAACATAATAAAAGCTATTATGTATCACGTCTAATATCAATAAATGAGAAATGGATTGGAAGCATGTGAGTTTAAAATTACATTCTGTTGTTCATGGTTTCAATAATATGCACACAAGTACAGGCAAGCTAAAACGTTCACGTATGTTGATGTTATGAGTAAAATTGCCTGTTGCTCTATGCACAACTCGGAGCAATAACGCTTTTAGATTAATGAGTTTTTAGAGTTAAAACACATTTATCATCCAACTGCAATCCTAGCAAGAACCTAAAGTAAGGATGATTTTACTCTTTTTATCAATCTTACCGTTTGTCACTGACTTTGAGAACTTTAGAGAACACATCTAGCTCGCAAAACTCCATGCCGAGCAGACAGAGGGGTCCCTGCTTGTACAACTGCAACAAACATTTAAGAAGCACAAACGATGATTGGCTGTCGTCATATGACACATTATTATTCTATCCTGGACACCAACTTGAGACAATTTCGAACAAGTATAACCAGAAAGATCGAGCTACTGGACATTTGGTTTCCGTAACGGACATGACAGAAAACGGACAAGGGTTATCAGTGTACTGTACAAAGCATGAAAACCATGTCAGCTTAATGGCTATATCTTTCCAGTTTTTGTCTAATTCGAATCTTGAAATAACCCTCTAGACCATGAACACAACTGTAAACGTATTTAGGCAACTATCTTTTTCTTTCATTAAAAAATGGTGCGTAATTAACGGACATGACACTTTCTGCGCAATGGACATGAGTATGCGCACTTTGTTCCAAGCTATTATACTTTTTTTCTGAAGGAATTATGCCTTCATGTATAGTCAGAAAACAGGAGTCCGATTCATATGACATGCAATTCAAGGGAATTTATTACCTTATGAAGTACTTACTAACCTTAGATATGGTACTATACTACAACATGATTGGCTAAATTTTATATTCATAAAATAGCACGTCACACAAATATAGCTAAAAAAATATTTAAATCGTGTTTTCAGTGAGCCCCAGCATCGTTGTTATGAAAGGCAGCATGACTTAAAATATGAGAATTTAGACTTCATTTAACAGCAATCTACATGAAACTGGGCAATTAATGTTTTTACTCGAGTGAACGTTTTTCGTGGAATTGCCAATATATAGCGCGTTCACACGTAGCAAAATCCACGGTTCGTACGCGTACGAAACAGAGTTTCGTACGTACTCGCGATAAAATTCTGAACGACCACGTATAGCTATACTCAATTCGAAACGCGTATCACTATCCTGACAAAATGAGTGCGTTTCCTACGTACTTCGTATAGCTGTACGCGTATAGCAGACGTGTGAGCAACCGGCTATAGCTATACGCGTATAACAATAGGAAACAAAGCGCTGTCGACGGTCTACGAGAAAATGCTAGTGTTAAGACTAATGTTAAGACTAATTTTGAGCCGTGTGGCGGACTCAATATGGCTATACGCACGGCGGCCGTGTGGCGGACTCAATATGGCTATACGCACGGCGGCCGTGCGGATCCGATTCAATATGGCTATAAGCACGGCGCTGCCGTGGGGCTGACTCAAATATGGCTAACGCACGGGCCGTTGTGATAAGATAAATATGGCTATACCACGCGCCCGTGTGCGACATCATATAGCTATACGCATGGCGGCCGGTGTGGCGGACTCAATATGGCTATACGCACGGCCGCCGTGTGGATAAGATTCAAATATGGCTATATCGCGCACCGCGGCCATATGGCCGACTCAATATGGCTAGAGAATGAGGAAAGTGGAAGAAGGGAAGCTGGTGGAGAAGGAGGAGGGCAGAAAGCTGGTGGAGAAGGAGGAAGGGAAAGTGTGGAAAGGAGAATGGAGAAGCTGTGAGCAGGAGAAGGAGAAGAAAGAAAGTGTTGGAGAAAAGAGGAGGGAGAAGGGAGAAGGTGTGATAAAGAGGGAAGAAGCTGTGAGAAGAGGAGGGAAAAAGATGGTGAGAAGAGGGAAGAAGCTGGTGAAAGGAGAGGGAGTAAGGGCTGAGGAGGGAGAACGTAGGAGGATGGAGAAGCTGGGAGCAAGGAGGAAAGGAAACGAGGGAGTAAGGACTTGTGACGGAGGAGAAAGGAAAGTTGCAGGATGAAGATAGCTGGTGGAGAAGAGGAAGGGAGAAGGGAGAAGGCAGGGAAAGAAGGAGAGGATAAGCCGGAGCAAGAGAGGGGGAGAACTGGGGAGAAGCGAAGGGAGAAGGAAGTGTGGTGAGAAGAGAAGGAGAAACGAGAGAAAAGAAAGGAAGTGTGAGTAAGGAGATAACTGTGGAGAAGAGGAGGGAGAAGCAGAAGGAGAAGGGAAGAAGGTGTGGACAAGAGAGGGGAGAAGCTGTGAAAGGAGGAGGCGGAGAAAGAGAAGGTGTGGAGAAGAGAGAGAGAAGGAGAATGTGAGAGGGGAGAAGCGTACGAGAAGGAGAGGAAGCTGGTGAGTAAGGAAAAGGTAGGAGGGGAAAGAAGCTGGTGAGGAGGGAAGGAGAAGGAGAAGCGGTAGCATGAACGAGGAGGGAGAAGGAGAAAGGATAAGCTGGTGGAGAAGGAGGAAGAGAAAGAAAAGGTGTCGAGAAGGGGGAGGGAGAACTGGTGGAAAAGGAGGAGGGAGAAGCTGTGAGGAATTAGAAGGGATACGAAGAAAGCTGGAGAAGGAAGAAAGGGGGAAGAAGGAGGGGAGAAGCGACGGAGTGGGAGGATAAATGGGATAGAGGGGAGAAACGGAACGGTGAGAGGAGGGGGAGAAGGGAGAAGCGTGAGAGGGAAAAAGCCTGTGGAGAAGGAAAGGGAAAGAAGAAGGGGTAAAGAGGAGCGGATGAAGCTGGTGGAAGCGAGGGGCGAACTGTGGAACAATGAGGAAGGGGAGAAGGAGAGAAGGGAGCGGTGGATGGATGAGGGGAAAGTAAAAAAGAGAGAGAAAAAGGAAAAGGAAAGGAGGAGAAGCTGTAGAGAAGGAGGAGCGAGAATGGAGAAGCTGTGATGATGAGAGCTGGGAAGAAGGCAGGAACTAACGACCAGCTTCTCCCTCACTCCTTCTCATCCCACTTCTCCCTTCTCCCTCCTCGCCACAGCTCCCTTATCTCCCTCATTCCTCCCTTACCCGCTTCTCCCCAGCTTCCCCTCCCTCCTCCATCCACTCTCACCGATCCTCACTATCTCCAACCGACCTTCTCCTTTCTTACCCCTCGCTCCTCCACCCAGCGCCCTCTCCGCCCTCCTTTATCCCCTTCTCTCTTCTCCCCTGCTCTCTCCACCAGCTCCCACTCTCCCTCCTTCTCTCCTTCCTCCTCCTCCACGCCAGCTTCTCCCGCCCTCCTCCACTCAACCTCTCCTCTTCGTCCCCTCCTCCTATCTCGCACCAGCTCTCCTTCCTCCTTCTCACCACCTTCTTCCCCTCTCCCCCTGCCTCCTTCTCCAACCAGCTTCTCCGTTTCGTCGTCGCTCGCGCCACCCAGGTCTTCCCTCTACCCCTCCTTTCCCTTTCCTCCTTCTCTCAACACAGCTTCTCCCTCCTCCTTCCCTACCAGCCTGTCTCCCCTCCTCCACCACCTTCTCCTTTCTCCCCCTCCCCTTCTCCACCAGCGTCCCCTCTCACACCAACCTTCCTCTTCTTCTCCCATCCTTCTCCACAGCTTCTCCCCTCCTCGCCTTCTCCAACACCTCTCCCTTCTCCCCCCTCTCCTTCTCCAACCAGCTCTCCCCTCCTCCTCTCCACCCATCACTCTCCCTTCTCCCCCTACCTCCTTCCCAACCAGCTTCTCCGCTCTCCCCTCATCACACCCAGCCCTCTCTCCCCTCCTCTCTCCTTTCCTCCTCTCCACCAGCTCTCTCCTTCTCCCCTCCTCCCACCAGCTCTCTTCTCACCCCTCCTTCATCCCTCCTCCTTTCCCAGCTCTCCCCTTCCTCCTCCTACCAGCTCCTCCTCCTTCCTCCACCACCTCTCCGTTCCCACTCCTCCCTTCCACCAGTTCTCTCTCTCCCCCTCCTTCTCCCCACCAGTCTCTCCCTCCTCCTTCTCCAACACCTTTGCCCCTCTTCTCCTCCTTCTCCAACCAGCTTCTCCCCCTCCTCCTCTCCACCACCTTCTCCCTCTCCCGCTTCCTACCTATCCACAACTTCTCCCCCTCGTCTCCTCCACCATCATCCTTTCCCCCGCTCCTCCACTACTCCTCTCCCGCTTTCTCCCTTTTCCCCCTGCTCGCTTTACGCAGGCATCCCTTCTCGCTTCCTCCTTCCCACCAGCCTTCCCCCTCCTTCCCACCACTTTCTCCCTTCTCCTCCCTTCTCCGACCCACTTCTCCCTTCTTCCCTCCTCGCAACCACCTTCTTCTTCTTCCCCCTCCTCCTCTCTCCACCAGCTTCTCCCGCCTCCTTCTCGCCCCACCTTCCCCTCTCCCCTCATCCTTCTCACCAGCTTCTCTCTTCTCGCCTCCTCCTCCACCAGCTCCTTCCCCCTCCTTCTCTCCACACACGCTTCTCCCCTGCCTCCTCTCCACCAGCTTCTCCATCCTCCTCCACGACCTTCCTTCCCTCCCCCGCTCCCTCCTTCTCCCACACCTTTTCCTCCTCTCCTTCTCGCACCAGCCTCTCTTTCTCCCCGCTTCACTCCTTCTCCCCTCCTTCTCCACCACCTCTCTTCTCCCCTCTTCCTCATTCTCGCTACCACCGCATCACCACTACCTTCTTCCCCATTTCTCGCCTTCTCCACCACCTTCTCCCCTCTCGCCTTCCTCCTTCTCCACCAGCTTCTCCCTTCTCCCCTTCGAACCCATTCCTAGCCATATGATCGGCTCCATACGCCGCCAGTGACGTATAGCCAATTGAATCTTATCCACACGGCCGCAGTGCGTATAGCCATATTGAGTCGGCCACACGGCCGCCGTGCGTATAGCCATATTGAATCTGGCCCACACGGCCGCCGTGCGTATATAAGGCGCGTTCACACGGACGTTTTTGGCCCGAGCCTAATTAGGCCCGTGCCAGATTTGGCTCGAGCCGAGCGTTCACACGGACGTTTTTGGCCCGAGCCTAATTAGGCCCGTGCCAGATTTGGTCCCATCGAAAACGTCGGACTAGGCCTGAGCCAAATTTTAGCACCAGCTTTCGGCGAGAGGTAGAGCGGTAGAATCGGTTGAGCGGTAGATGCTGCGAGTGTCAAACGTGTACTTCGACGAAATAAAGTCCAAAACAGTATAAAAATTCGACAAATTTGATCAGGATGCACGTTTTCAAGATTGATAATTGAACTCGGAACGTAAGTAAACACTCTAAATCCTACACAACGCCATCTCGCGACATACTGCCAAAGTATCTGTGAGATATTTGTGCAATAAAATTTATTTGAATTTGAATTTGAATTTGACAGACAGTATTTACCTCCCCCCTACTTGCGTACGTGTGAACGCTCCGACTCAAACCGGCCCGAGCCAAATCTAGCCCATTTGGCTCGAGCCAAACCATGACCGTGTGAACGCGACTATAGTCACTTCCTTACGGTAGAGTAAATAAACACTGAGACTTTGACAGTAAACACACACTAAACACAATTTGTGTTTACTTACTATTAATTTTATTATTAAAACGGCCAAACTGCCTCAGGCTGTAAAAGTACTAAAACTAAAAGTGTAAAACTAACTTTCTGAACCATGGCATGGGAGCCTGACGATAACATTCGAGCAACAGTGTCAGTGTCACTGTCAGTGACACCGACTGTCATTAACTAGGATATCTACAACTTTGCATGTAATTACTCACTTTATAGTAGACATCAAACTGCACATTTTCAGGGAAAGTTTTGAGTTCTCTACGAGTTCTAGTGTAATGAGTAACTACAACATTTATTGTTGTATTATAGAGAGAATCTGGAATCCAATTGAGAGCTGACGCCATGTTTTCTTGATGCTCTGCATTCAACCCAAATTTGATTCGATATGTGTGGTGTGAGTGTAATATAGAGCAAACACAGAAATTTCTATGTAAGCTCTGATAAAATAACTTTTTAGCCACGACGGTTCTAAAGTAAAATCATATTATTTATTTTTTCTCAAATATAGCCTAAGCGGAAGTATCCGTCCAGCGAACAGTACACTCCCCGTTTTCGGCACAGTCTTCCTAACTTCCTGTCGGCTGTCTAGACTGGTACTCGCTCCCACCTCGATTACTCGATGGGCCGAGTGGTGGCCGGCCTAAGCCGAGAGGTGGGACCGGGTACCAGTCTAGTCGGCTGTCGTACCGCACGTCTTCTCAATTTTTGATTATCTGAAATTTTAAACGTTGTATATACGTACATGTTCAAAATCCATGTAGTTTTGCAGGTTTCTCAATAGTATGTGATGGTCCGATTTAAGAACAGGTACTAGGCCTAATTCGTCACGTACCGCTTCTTTATTAAGTAGTACGGTTCAAGGATAGAGATGATGGGTGCAAATCCACTTTAGTAGCGATGCTGATCGCTCGCGCCATATTGTCTATATTTCAGCAACCATAATTTCAATCGAGTCAATGTAGCCACTTTCAGATGACGTCACTTTTAATATATATCATATTATTAAATCAAACTTTGTAGTCTGAATGAGAAGCGCCTCAACCGTTTATGTTATTATTTTCAGAATTGTTACCGTAACCGTTTTTGATATAGAACGTGCTAAAAACGCAACAAAACGTAAACGGGGCTAGCAGCGACCTGGCATGAAGCGCGCGCATACTAGTTTTTCGTTTTTCGCCGACGCCACAACAGCCCTGTATAGCTATAAACTATTCTGATGTATTTATTTATGACATGTTTATAGACATTATCGTTCTGATGGCGCCACACCAAACTCGCCGCTCCACAGTTCGGGGTCTCTTCTTATTATGGCAGATTTATGTACAGCAATGAATATGAAATGCACGTCATGTATACGTCGACATAATTCATCATCCAATTGCATCTCCATGATGCCCGCGTAGATGCGCAGTTCGAAGCATTGCTGAGCATTTCCAGTGTCAAATGTGAAAAGCACTTCATTGGCACTGTCACGTCTCAACATTTAGACCGCTGTAATGGGCCCCGCTGCAACCCGCTGGCCATCTGATAGGCCCGCGCCGACTGATGGGCTGGGTAGTGTTGATCCTATGTAGGTGTGTGTCAGTTAACAGACAAATCAATTGAGATTATGGATGAGAGTTCGTATCAGTAACCAAGCAAATGGTAATCGATATTAGTCTGTAGTCAGTAACGGATACGTCAATGGGATAGCATTCCTAAGGGGGGGTGGAGGGGGGTGCGCACCCCGCCACTAACCAATTTTATAGTTGAGCTTTTTTCTGGCCCACGGCCATTCTTTCTGGCCCACGCGCCCTTTTTTCTGGTTCCGGACCACTCACCCTGCTCGCGCCGAAAACCCGCATGTGAGGGGGGTGTAATTCAAACTTTTTCCTGGGGGAGGCCCCCCAGACCCCACCTTTGCGTGCCTCCAACTTTCGGTTACGGTTGGAGCCCCGTCCCTGGACAAATCCGTACACGCCGGCTGTGAACAAAGCGAACTACTGAGTATGTCTTAAGGTAAAGATAAATATATCAGTCATATGAAATTCAACGTTCACGTTCAAGTTTAAGTCAATGTACTGAAACGGAAAGCATATAAATTAATACATTAATGATTTCAATTTCTTTCTGTATAAAAGGGTGGTTCCAATTGCCATATCGCAGTTTGATTTCAACGATCGGGTTACAGTATTTGGTCGTCTCTGATGGCAGTTAATTTCAAAGCAAGGTCATAGGTTTTTGTGCGCATTGTGGATTTTGCCCTTGTACCTGGAATTGTCTAGTTCAATTTTCATTGCTATGAAAACTTGAAATACAAGAACGTTCGCCTCATATGCATCTGAAAATGCATTAAAAAGGAGTGATGCTTCTAAAAAATATCTGGGGGAGCCCCCCCGA